AATTTTTCCTGGTATCATTACAGCACCATAAAAATGAATAATATAATCACTTCTAAATTTATCTAACATTGATACTTCATAACTAAATTCTTCTATCTGTTCTTCTTCGGTTTTACAATTAATTTGTTTCATTTTCTTAATTGCTACTTTATTTCCTCTAAATTCTCCTAAATACACAATACCAAATGACCCTTCTCCTATCTTTTTTATTTCAATTAATTCATCAGGATCAAATTTAGTACTTATTTCTGTAATAAATTCAATTCCAATTCGTTCACTATTTGAATTACCTCCATTTAAATATGAAGAACTTACTTGAAAATAATCACTAATTGTACATGAACAATGTGGTATTAAAATAGCTTCAAATTCACATGCTTCTCCATTTTTTAATATAATTTCTGATGGATTAATTTTAAATTCATATTTTTCTTTCTTTTCAATTGCATTTAAAAATATTTTTATTGTTTTTTTAGTTAAATTTCCAATACAAAATAATTCTCTTGATTCTGTTTCAACAGGTAATGGCTGTGTTTCACAACCAAATGTTAGTTTATTAATATTCATAACAAGATGACTTTTTGAAACATATTTAAAGTTTATATTAGAATATTTTATTTGAAATTTAGTATAATTATGATTTTCTTCATATTCCATTTTTCTAAGATAAATTCTTTTTACTATTAATTGAATTAATGCTGTTCCCATAATAACACAAATTTTAATTATTATGTCTATAATAATTATTACTACTACAAAATTCCACCACACTGGAACTAAATCACATTTTTGTCCACTTTCATTAGGTTGAAACCAATATTCACATGATGTACATTTAGATCCTTCTGATCCTAAACAATGTTTAATTTGTTCAAAATAAATACATTCTTTTTCAATTAATATAAAATCTTTTTCACATCCTATACAATATCCATAATTCATATCACATTCTGAACATTTATTAGTTTTAGAACTACAAGTAGAACATCTTTTTCCATTAATATAATACCCTTGTTCACATTCTATACATCCTTGTTCTCCATATCCAATACAATTACTTAAATTTATTTGACGTTCGCATTGATATGTTTCATTAACAAAAAAGTCTGTTATACAAGTTGAACATATATTTTCTTGATAACAAATATCACAATTTGGTGAACAAGGAACACATTTTGATGATTGAATAAAATATCCATCATTACATTTTATACATACAGAACCAATAAATCTTTTACAATTTGCTACATAATCTTTTGATGATACACAGTGGTCATTCTCTATAAAAAATCCATCATTACATTCATAACAATAATCTTGTCTAGATGTACACTTTTTACATTTATAATCACACTCTAAACATTGATATGATGAAGTATAATAATTATCTTTACATGTTAAACATTTTCCTTCTGATAATAATTCACAATGATTAGTTGTTGAATTAAATAATTTACATTTAACTTTATATCCATTGAAATCATCAAATTCTTGTTCTAATACATATCCAGATTCACATGAAACACAATTTCCATCATTTGTACATTTAGTACAATGACTTGAACATTCAACACATTCAGTATAATTAAGATATTCAAACTCTTGACAATTTATACACCTTGAATTATTTGCATTACATGTTATTGGTTGTGGAACACATTCACCAGCATTATTTAGTACATACCCTTCTTGACAATTATAACATATTTCAGCTGTACAAATTATACAATGTCTACCAGAACAACTAATACAATTATCATTTAATAAATAAAATTGACTAGGACAAGAAATAATATGTGAATTTGTTATTATTCCTTTAACAAATTTACATTCATTTTCATATAAGAAATACCCATTTGTAACATCGCACACTGAACATGTTGTAGCTGTTGTACATTTTAAACATCCTGTAACCTTACATGGTTGACACTCCCCATTAATAGGAAAACTTTTTTCTGGACATTCATAACAAACTCCATTAGAATAATAATCACACGTAGTAACAGGAGAACATTCATTTTTATTTACAACATAATTCTCATCACAAACAAAACAATTTGTTTCATTACAAGATTTACAATGTTCATCATGACATTTAGAACATACTCCTAAAGAAGAGTAATAATAATAATCACAAAAATCACATCGTTTGTCTATTGATGATAATGCTCTACAATGTTCAATTTTAATAGATTCTAGACAATTTCCATTTTGATCTTCTCCTATTTTACATTTAATACATTTAGCTTCATTATTTGATACATAAACAATAAGACATAATTCTTCTGTAGAGGATGTGATCAAATTTCCTTTTGAATAAGAAATTCCATATCCAGTCGATGCATAAATCATATTTGATTGAGAAACACTTAATTGAATTGTTGAATCAGAAGGACTAAAAACAATATTATTTAAAGACCCTTTTATTTCTACATTTGCATTTGTTTTAAGTATAAATTCTTTATTTTTAACTTTTAACTCTGCTGTTTTTAAGATTTCAATTTCATTTGGATATTCATCATCAGATAATTGATATGAAGATGAATAGATAATAGTAGTACAATAAACATCAGAAGATCCATGACATGGACATGAATAAAGTGGAGTTATTGATGGGTCTCCATATTCACACTTCTTATTATATAATTGTAATGTCTTACACCCAATGAAATTATCTAACTTATTTAAAACAATTAGTTGTTGGTCACATGAATATAAAGATGGTTCTACTCCTACAATTTTTCTTGAATTTGCTTCAAGGAAAAGAGTATTAGAACATGATATACATTGAGGAATAGTTTTAATTAATAGTTCATTTGATGTTGGTTCTAGAGAAAGTAATGGAAGACCAATACTCTTAAATGTTATTGATTCAATAGAAATCGAATTAACATTTTTTTTAATAACCATTTGATTTGTTAACACAACATAATTCAATCGAATAGTTCCACTTTGAATCGTACATGTTAAAGCATTTAATGAGAAGAAATTATCTGTTATTAATTCAACAAATTCAATTCTTTCTGCTTTAATTTGAACATTAATTCCTGTAGTTATTTTTTCGATAATAACAGGTCTTTTAAAAGTAAGAAATGAATTTTCATGAATAATTAAAACAATATTTGAAGAGAAACTATTTTCAAAAATAACATTACAGTTAGATAATATTTCATACTTTATAGACTGAATATTTCCAATAAGACTACAATCTTTTTGAATAATTATTTGATTTGATTTTAAAGGATCACTTCCAAGAACTGTTACATTTCCATTAAGGTATATTGTATTACAACTCAATTTACCATAAATCGTAGTTTTTCCGTTTAATGTACAAATATTAGATTTTATTGTTCCTTTTAAATAAGAAACAGTTGAAGTTGTAATACTATTCCAATAACTTCCATCAATAGAACTATATGTTGTTTCCTGAGAAGTAAGAACAAGGTTTAACATATTCGTTTCATAAAGAGAACTTTCAAAACAATCGTCTTGAATAAATGAAGTTGTGTATTGACAAGTGCAACCAAGTGAAGAAAGATATCCAAAACGAGTTCTATTTCCATTTTCACATATTTTTTCCACTCCTTGATGAAAAGTATTTGTTCCAACAAATACAATCTTTCCTTTTTGACTTGTAAAATTAGCTTGATCATATGAAATATCTGTAAAACAATGAATAACATTCGTTTGTGGAAATAAAACTGATTTAAAATGAATTTTTCCAATTACATATAAACGTGTTGTTGGTAGTTCAGTTAGTTCAGTTAAATATAATTTAGTACTTGTTGCTATTTGAATAATAGTTAGACCAAACCGTGGTTCAAAAATTATCCCCTTCCAAAGAAGAGGTGCATCTTCTCTAAATGATATCGTAACTTGACGTTGAAGAATAGTTAAATAAAAAAGAGAATTGTTGTATAAACAGTCTGGATAATTCATCGTAAACTCATGAAAATTAACTGAAGAACTATCAGAGTGAATAGAACAAGAACAGTCTTGTTTCAGTGTTAAAGTTGATTCATGTTGAACAAATCGATTAAACGAACCAATAGAGCAAATTGACGTAATTGTATTATCACCATATCCAACGATTGTGTCAATAGAAATACCACTAAAAACATATTTTATTGTATCTATTTCATTTAATATAGTTACGTTCTGAATATTATTATTTCCTTCTAAGTAAATATACGGTCGGTCTTCACTCTGATAATGAATTGTCATCCTTTCGTAACAATGAATAAAAAATCGTACAGGTCTACTCCCAACTTGAAGTGATGTTTCATATCCAGTGTCAATTGTAGATCGTGTATTTTCTAATATAAATTGAATAGAAGAAGGTAATTCTTCCAATTGAAATTTCCATTGTACTGTTGGAGAATCTTCAAGAAGGTATAATTGTTTTAATTTAGATGTTGATTGGACATAACACACTTTAGAATTAGTTGAAAAGTATGGATCAATGTAATAATAGTCTCTTGATTTATAACAGCAATCTCCGGAAAATGTAAATACATACACGTCACTAAAAAGTCCTTTAGAAACATCATATCCAACATCACTAAAAAGCTCACCAATTAACCCATAGTAAATATGATTATTTTTATCAGTATACCAAGACGCTATTACCTGATAAATAACTAAAAAAATGATGATATTCATCTAAGCAATATCAATCTTCCTTTTTAAGTTTTTTCACTAAACGAAAAGAAAAAAATGAAAATTGGCTTTTTTTCTTACACGTCGCATTTTGTTTCATTATAAAGAACTACTAATATACTTAATTCCTATTGAGTTTAAATAACATATTATATGTCAATTGATACACTTTATTTTTTAGCACAAAACTATACTTATTTCATATTTGAAAAATAATCACTATAACCTTTAACTAACCAAGAATAATACTTTGATTATCACAACTATTATCAATAACTCTTTATTTCATTATTATTCATAAACTGTTTCAGTGTTAAACTTGTTGGATGTCTATTATTTTATTCTTTTAGAATTACTCTTTTAAGTATTTCTTCAAACAAGTTTTCTATTTAGAACCTTGTAGTTCTGAATTTATATTAATACGTCGTACAAAAGAAATATTTCATTTTCTAATAATCACTTCTCTAACAAACAAATTAATAATACATTCCTTTAGTTTATACCTTCTATTTTTTGAACTAATTTAATAAAAATAATTCTATATAAAGAAAGTAAATAATTTACTCAATACTTTTACTGTAATAAAATAAATTCGTAGAATTGTTCGTCATCAAGTCACTAATAATTTTATTTATTAAACTCTTTACACTTTTTGTGAGGTTTCTTTTACTTATTAAAAGAGTTAAATAATTCTGTCATTTCATTAGAATCACTACTAAAACCAATGCGAGTGTCATAACTGTTGTTTCAAGTTCTACGATTTAGGTTTAGTGTCATTAAAACAATAAAAATAAGGTTCATGTAAAATATTTTCATTTGACTTAAACTCAAAATTTGTTTATCTTTGGAGAATGAAAAGAAATCTCTATTAAACAATACTTCAAAAAGAAGAATAAACAAATGGATGAAAGCGAGAACCAACAAAATGAACTCAACGTTACCCCACTGGAAAATTTTCAACTCCCTCTTTCTCAACAATTCTTCTTAAGCTATGGTGACATAACACTTAGTGAATCTTCGGCAACACAACTCCATCTAGATGATGAAACTCTCAATTCTATCTCACCAATTAATCTTCGACCTACAAAAAATGTACCAATCACAACAGAAGTTAGTAGTCTTTATATGAATAACTCATCAGAAGATATGTTTGATCCAAAAGTAAAAAGGAAACTTAGCTTATTGGAATTAAAGTTTCAATACACAATGTCTTGTCATGAAATTCACTGTCTGAAAAAAATCAAGAAAACGCTGTCTAAAACAACAGACCCATTTCTTCGTTCCAATTTAAATGAGATTGATGACTATATTCTTTGTCACATAAGGGAAAAAAAACATTTAAAGAAAAAAAAAAGAAAATATATCATTCAAAGAGTTTGCTACTTCTTTCACATAGAACGAAATTAAACAAATTGTTCGAGCTAAATATTATTGAATTTTGTTTATGGATTCCATTCTTGCAAATATATTTTTGTTGGAATAATAATTATTATGCTCTATGTACTGAAACAAAGAATTTCTTTTATGACTGTGGTTCAATAAAATAAGAACTTAGTCTAATCTCTTAAATATCTTAAGGATTTTTTTTTGTTGAAATCTTCACTTCAAGATGCTCAACGTCCCATTAGAATAACTTATTTTATATTTTCTTTTCAATACAAAATAAGTCATAAAGATTGACTATAGAATCTCCTACCTAAATAAACTCTCTTTTTAAAAGACTTAATATATATATTCCTTATCAACCAATAAAAATAAAAAAATTAAAAAAAGCAATAGAAATTTTAATACTTAAAAAATGCAAAGCGATTGTTACCCCAAATGTGATGGAATTGAACAAGTTAAAAAAATTAAACATGCTAGTGTTCAAACTATTAAAACTGGCGTTTATGAAGGTGGGTTTCAAATATGGGAAGGTGGTGATGATCTTTATAATTATATTGCTCATCATATTGAATTGTTTAAGGGGAAAAAAGTATTAGAAGTTGGATGTGGACAAGCATTGCCATCCGTACTATTGAAAAAACATGGTATTGAAGTTGATGTGGCTGATTATAATAGCGATGTTCTTGAACTTACAAAATTAAATTTTCAAGTAAATGAACTTGATATCAGTAATGTAAAATTCATTAGTGGTGATTGGGATTTAATAGTAGAAGGGAGATATGATTATATAATTGGTGGTGATGTTACTTATAATCCTGAATATCAACCTAAACTTGCTCATCTACTTTCTCGATTATTAAAAGAAGATGGTAAAGCTATTATTGCTGCCAAGGTTGTTTACATTGGAAATGGAGGAAGAATTGTTGATTTTTTTGAATTAATGAAACAACAAGGATTTGATTATCATTATGAACAAGTTAGTCATTCAGGTGTTGTACGACTAATTGTTACATTTACTCGTCGTTCATAAATCATAAAATTTTGAAGAATAAAACACATACTAACTGAATTAAAATATAACAATTTAATGAACAAAGGTTATTTGTTTTAAACAATCAACAACGAATGGATGAGTTTTAAATTGGTCCCATGTCATTCTTTTTTTCCGTTCAAAAACAATAAGTTTTTTAAGTAAATCAACAAGAAGAACATATTCTTTCTTATTTTCTGTCCATAAAAAGTCAATGTTCTCACTAAGAAGATACCTTTCTTTAAGTTCATTTAGTGAATTAATTTTGAAAGGGAATTGAAGATATATTAAGTAATACAAAACAATTCCTAATGAATATAAATCACTATTATCATTGTATGTTTGTTGAAATACAATTTCTGGAGCAGCATATAATGGAGAACCAACTCCATACTCCATGTCTTTTGTAGCTTTCAATGCAACACCAAAATCACAGAGTTTAATAATAATAGAAGGAAACTCATCATAAACAAGGAAGTTTTCTAATTTAATGTCACGATGAATAATACCAAATACAGAATGTAAATAAATACATGAAGATACAATTTGACCAAAAACAAGTTTAGTTTGACCAAAAGATAGTCTATCATTTTTCATTATTTTTTTTGAAAGAAAATCACTTAAATTACCAAATTTACAATATTCTAATGCAATACAACTTCCATTCATTAAATAATTATTTTCAGTTTTTCTATTATATAATGTAGAATAACCATAACATTTAATAATATTAGGGTGATGACACATTTCCATAATTCGTTCTTCTTTTATTAAGTTATCACTTTTTTCATTAAAACTTTCTTTTAAAACAACTACTTTTCCACTACTCTTTTCAATACTTTTAAATATTGTTCCAAAACTTCCCTTACCAATTTCTGAAATAACATAATAATCATCTACAATGATTTCTTTCACTGATGATGAACTTTTCTTAGAGGAAATCTTTTTTATTGTGTTAGAAAGTTTTTCTAATTCACGTTCAAATTCAGTATAACTGTTTATAGTTTCTATGATAGAACATTGATTTACTTGTACTAAGGACATTAATGAATTAATACTCTCAAGTTGAAGACGTGTGAGTTTTTTAGTCCGATCTTGACAATAACTACAATTATTTGGAATATTAGATTGTAGGGGAGTAAGAATTTGATTAATAAATGCTAATGGAGTTAATTGTATTAATGGGAATGGACTTGAGTCAATTTCAAAGAGAGATATATTGAGTTGTTGATAACTAAGAATTACTTTATGAATTAATGATTTATTTTTAAGAATATTGAGTAGAGTAATAATGGTGGTAGAATGTAATTGTTTTTCACTTCCACTAATTCTCGAATTAGATGAAAAGTATTCATTTAGTTGAGATTTAAGTGGAAGAGGAGTGAAAAGAATGAGATGTTCTATTTGATTACTTCTTGTGAAAATGAAATGATTAACTGGAGAAATACAGTCATATATTTGGAATGTATCTTGGTAGTATTCAACACACTTAATAATCAATTTCTTTTCTTCTTCTGTAATTTTATTTAAATTAATGTCAATCATCATCTGTCGTTTTTTAATTTTCCATATTTCACAATACTTTTGTCTGATAGTAACACTTCTACAACTGTAATACATATTTTCAATTATAACATTTTTATCATCTTTAAGCACAATCTCACTCATCTCATTCATTGTACAGCTTCTATTATTTTTAAGTTTTGTCACCTCTTTTCAATCTCATTTTTCATTATTCCATTTTTAGAATGACATTAATAATCATTTAAATAATTTATGTGATATATCCAGATTTTTTTATTAAAATTAATAATCAAAAGAAAATATCTTAATTCTTAATAAACTTAACATGAAAATAATTAATAAAAAAGAATAAAGAGTGTTTTAATAACAGTTATTTCTTGTATTATTTCTTTTATTGTTCTTTTCTCTTGTTTTTTAATCTGTATTTTCTTATTTTTCATGACTTATTTACTAGAATTTGGTGGCTTTATTTATCTTTATATACTTTCATCATCTATCATTTGTATATACTATCCATTAAATAATTTATTTATGATGTTATCATAATTACCTTTTATTTATCTATCATTTCTACTTTCTCATTCTTTTATTTTTCTTTTAATATTAACTTATTATTATCTAATTTTTCATGTTCATTTCGATACTTATTTTGTGCTTTTATCATCACTTCTGATGACATAATTTTATTTTTCTTTCTTATGCTTTATTTTATTCTCATTTATTGATATTAATTATTGTTAAATTAAAATAAAATGAATGATGGTTGATATAAAATAGATTGTTGATAAAAATAATACATGACTTGATGTTAATAAAGTGTGTTTAACTATTTAAACATAAATATTTTGAACTTATAAACATCAAATTAAATTAAAATAGAAGAGTTAATAATCAAGAACAACAAATTAATTAAAGAAGTCGTATAAATGATTACAAACATCCAACAATCAATTGATGATACTACTAAGAGCTATCAATATTATTTATGAAATATTAAAAATGAATTATGTAAAGTAAAACCAGATTAAACGTATGAACAATCTATAAAAGAGGAGAATGAATAATTGATAGGATTATTGAAATAGAAATAAAACGAAAACAAGCGATAGAAAAAAGCCTAGAAACAATCAATAAAATAAAGACAGTAATGAATAAAATTGAAAGAATCATAAAAAAATGTAACTCTGATGAAGAAATGTTAGATAAAACATAGAATTAACTAATAGAGAAAATAAATCATGTTGAAGAAATGAATATAAAAGATAAAATCAAGAAATTAGAAGAATCAGATAAATAAAAATAATAAAATACAAATTTAATATGTTTGTATTTCTTATTTTCTTATTTAACATATTATGTTTGTTGTATTTTTAATAGTTTATATACAATCATCCACATTATGTTGAAATTACAATCTCATTTATAAATACTTTATTTATTTTTAATATAATATTATTTATATTTAATAATTGATGAAATATTACTGAATATTCATTGTTATATTATAATATTTTATAGTTTGTTTGTTTATGTTATTACTTAGTTGTATTAATTTTATATTCATTAATTTGTTTTTATATTTTATTTATTCATTTTATTGGCATTTTGATTTATGATATTTCATTTTCATTTATTCTAATTGAAATGAAATTTAGTTCTATTTATCGTTTCAATTATTTTTCTATCATTTCTACTGTATTTCTATTTATCTTTATTCTATTCTATATTTATATTTATTTATTTATAATTACTTTATAATTTAAACATCATCTAATAATTTCATCGTTAATTATTCCTTTGCATTAAAGATCTTCCAGATAATGACAATGGGACAGAGTTAGTCTCCCAAGAACAATGAACAATATAAACCAATTCTATTAAACCCAAATTAATTTATTTATTACTATTTTTTATGTACTAGTAATACTCTCATTTTATTTGGATCAAATGAATTTACATCTACACTATGAATGAATCTTCTTATTATGTAATTGTTGCTAATAATAACTTTCATTATTACTTAGTTTAACTAATTTATATTTACTTGCTTCTAGTTATCTATTGAATGTTCTTCTTTTTAATTTTGAAATCAAACATAAATAAATAACTTATTGACTAAGGATATTCATGTTTGAGTCTCCTTCTTTTAACTTGTTTCTTACCAACTTAATTTTTGTTGCTCCTTATTTAATAATCTTTATTTAACTATTTGTCCAATAGTTTTTATGTTATTATTAATAATAATTAAACATATAGGTATAACAATGAGAGCATGTTATGAAAATAGTTAGCTAAAATAATGACTATTTAATGACTATCTTTGCAAAGTTAATAAACTTAGAATTAATAATAATGTCAAATTAAGGAAATACAGAAATATTACGAAATGATATACAATCATAAACGACTGTTAAAAATATGAAATATAACGCCAGTTATTCTATAAATGAACTAGTAAAACAAACGCTTATGGATAATGGAAAATAAAGAAGAAATACTTCAAAGTAAATTTACAATAAATAAACCTCGAAATATACTTAAAATATTTTTCTTAAAAATTTTAAAAGTTAATAATGAGAAAGGATGTATAATTAATCCAATTTAAAACATTGCCAGTATAAAATATAAATGAGATGGACTTACCTTTACCTGAAACAATTTGAGTGAGTTAAGTAGAAATAATAAGGCACTGCTATAAGTGCTAATCCAAGTGAGACAAAGAACATTAATTCCAAACAAGGATTTTTCATGACAAAAGGTTTTTCTTCTACTATAATATATTCTGTATTTGTTAATAATAAGTCCATCAATAGTATTTATTCTTTGTAGAAGAAAAACTATATTTTATATAGTTATCTTTTTAAACAGATATAAAATCAACATGACTTCTTTTCACTTGACATAGTAAATTAATTATTTTTTAGAATAAATAACTTCTTGTTTCACTGCATTATCAAGATTGTAAAGATGAGATAGACACTCATCACTTTCTTTTAATATTTCTTTTAATTTTGCATCAATTAATGTATTTCTTTCAGTAAGTTCTTTTATCTTATCATTGTTCTTCTCTGTATCAATTTCTGAAGGTGGTAATATATCAATTAATCCATCCAACTATTAAATTAATTGGTAATGTCTTATAAAAACAATTAGAAAATCAAAAAAGATAAAACCAACAAACTCCTTTTGATATTCCAATAATATCTTTAGCGTATTTTTTATAATCATCATCTGTTAATTGTGGCTCTTTTTGACTTGCTGTTCCTAGTCTGTTTGTTAGTTCAATTAATGGTAAACACATGGCATCGTTTAGGTAATCAATGTTCGCAAAAATTTGATCGATGATATCAACTTGTCTTTCCATAGAATAGTTTTTGCAGTTTCTTTCTTTAAATAAAATACTTTGTTATATAAAACAAAAATATAAACCCTTTAAAAAAGAGTTTGATAAAAAATCATATGAATCCTTTTGGGGAAGAGAACCACCAAACAATTGTTCATCTAAGAGAGTTAGTTCACACTTTCTATTCAAGTAATAATCCAACAATACGTAAAGAAGTGGAACATCAACTAACACAATACTTAGAAAGTGATAATGCAGGGAAACTACTTCAACACGCAGTTCAATTAGGAGACCAAGAGCTTCTCTTTTTTTCATTAAATGCCTTTTATAATTTTATTAAAAGAAGGAGATTTTCAACTGAAATAATTCAACAACTGTTACAGCATATTATGGCTCTTCACCAGCAGTCAAACCAATTACCTATATTCTTATTAAATAAGTTTGTTTTAGTTTTTTTTGTATTATAAATGTACAAAAATTTTTGACTATTATGTTAATAGAATGAACTCTGTAATTAGTTATACTATTGCAATGTATATATTACAAACAAAATGTAATCCAATGATAGTGTTACAATCCTATTCATCATTAGATTTACAAATTCAATTATTACATGGGATATATGAAACTATTGATATATTACCATATGATCTTTCAGTTCAATTACAAAAACTGATAACTTCGTTTCAAAAAGAAATTATGACAATGTTTATACAAACAAATAACCTTTCATCTATTTTAATTTTATCTGATGCTGTTCAGTATTCATCTACATTTCCAAAAGAATTACTTTCATCTTTATTACAGATAGTTTATTTGTCATTAAAAAATTCTACTTATGTTGACTATTCATTAGACTTATTTTCAAACTTATTTATACGAGGTTTGTGAATATTTATTCATTTATTTTGTGACATTCTTTAATATTAATAGCTTCAGAATTAATTGAACAACCTTTTCTTCAAATGACAACCCAAGTCATTCAATTAATTATTCTTTTACAAACACCAAATGCATTGCAAACTTTGATTAATTTTTCAATTGCATTTTATGACGCACCAATCCTCATTGATATCATCCCAGTGTTATTACAGTATTGTTCTACTTCATTAGAAAATTGTGTTGATGTGATGGAATTCTTTGAAGAGATGTACACTTTATATGATGACACTCCTGAGCTTGAGAGTTCTCTCCAGAAATTCTCAATAGAATATTTAAAATTATTAATACCACTATGTTGTGTACATTCTTTTGATGATGAGTCTATTGTTACACGCTCTAAACTACGAGCAGGATTAAATTGTATATCAGAAATCTCCAACTCCTTATATTTTGACTGTTTAAAGTCATTCTTAATTCAAAACCAGTCAAACCAAATGGTTGTTGAGTCAATTTGTTTCTTATGGGAAGCCGTAGATAAATTACCTCAAGAACTAGCTTCAGTACATATTCATCGCCCGAATTGATTATTCTTTGATTAAAAATCGTTAAAATTACTATTTACTAATAGAAAGAAAATCTCATTATAAAATAGGATAGAATAATTCCTCATTAACAAAAAAGTTTTTCGGTATATTTATAATTACAAGTTCCTAGACAAGAACTTGATTTTATTATGGATATAGCTTATCCTTATTCTACAGATATTCAACAAGAAGATAGTCTGTCTGATGAAAAGTCTTGTGATGAAGAAATAACAGAATTGAAAAGTTCTTGGAAAAAGTGTTTAAGTTCATTCCCAAAAGAACAAAGAAAATTAATTAAAGCCTACGTTCAATATAAGTCTGAAAAGGTAGCTAAGAAAATTATTAAGGAGTACTTAAAAGAACAAATTGCTGGTACTGAAAAAGAAGATGATGTTTTTGGTTTTATTGATGAAGAACTGTGTGATGAAAGTTTAAAATATAAGAAGTACCTTTCAAAGAAAGAAAAAAAAAGAGAAAAGAAAATGATGAAAAAAAATAATAAGAACATGAAATATCCTATGTTTAATTGTTACCAAGGACCTTACCCAATTGTAGGACCAATGTTTGTTCCACCTCCAATCTATTATCCACCTCAACAATTCTTCCCACAACCTCAACAAAATCCTAAATATTATAAATTTAATTACTGTCCTCCATCACCTTACGGAATTCCACCATCAATTGTACCACCAAACATACCACTGAATGGCTATCCATCTATTCCACGATATAGTCAAAAATAACCAAGATATATTTTTCCAAAATAAACAATTTTTATTTGTTTTTTATTAATTTTTCTAACACAAATACAAATGATTTAATAAGAATTTAATTAATATTATTTTAATAACAAACAAAAGTTCGTCTAACTGGAATTAAAGGTTTTGAGACAATACCTTTCTTTGGATTAGTATTAATTTTAAACCCAAAAATCGTAGGGACATACTCATCAGAACTTGAACTATTCAGAGAATTAGAAAGTGAATCAGATGAGCTAGAACTTTCTTCAACAACATCAGGATATTGTAACATAAATAGATGTGGAAAATTTGTACCAATAAACGCACCATCAATATGAGAATCATGTGGTGGCATTGGAATATATAAATCACCACATCGTGGACAAAACAATTTAACAGACTCTTCTCCTGGAGTATTATAAATACCAACTGGGAGTAAATTTTGATCAGAACATTTTAATCGTTGACAACGACCAAATGTATTTTCATTTATTTTTTTTTTCATTTTTTTCATTCCATTTGGAGAAAGAATAAATCGAGCATGAATTAATCCATATAACTTCATTGCAGATTTTTGAAGTAAATGTGGATCAGTTCCACGTGATTTACTTTCACTATAACCACAGTTCAAAATAATATTAAGTGCAGATTCATAGTTTGTAACAAATTTGTCTAGTCCGTATAAATTAAATTCGTCATCAATAAATTGTTCATCAACTTCAACAAAATATTCATTTCCAGAAAGTGAACAAAACCATTGTATCCAAGTTAGATCGTCATGGTCAGAATCAGGGTCTGAGGGTGAGACATTTTTAATCATATATATTCTTAGTAAAGTTTTCTATCTGTCTAATAAGAGATATTAAGTTCTTTAAATACTTCTCTTCTTTAAAATTCTTCTTTTCCTAAAAAATTAGGTAATTTTACATTACTTCTTAGATATTTTTCTTATATTCTCTTATTCTATTTTCCTAAGATTTAAATCCAATTTTAAATCCCTTAATACTACCTCTTTTCCCTCTTTTTTCCATTAACTTAGTCTATTTTTTTTTGTATTTTCTTTTTTCGTTTTACATAGAAGATCTAGAAAGTTATCGAAGATAAACAAAGTCTTTTTTAAGAATATAAAATGCTTGATGTTTATGAGAATTTTATTAAAGGCTTTTATAAAACTAATACTTATAAAATAACCAAATATATGTAATAAAAACGTATTTATTTAGCAACTTGAGGATGTTCTTTTAATAAAAGAGACTTAACAACAAAATAACGATCAAAACGTTTATGGGCATATTCAATATAACCAAAATCAATAGTTGACAATGCTGCTTGAATAAGCGCCCATGTACCCCAGAAATAATGAGAAGCTAACTCAAACCATTTTACATCTTCAATAATTTTTTCTATTTCAGAAGATAATTCTTCAATAGGTTTTTTATAATAAGTAGAAAGATAAATACCAATAAACCGACGTTGTGTTTCTTCATTTGGATAACTATCCCAATTACAATCAAACCCACACCATTCACAAAAATGATTTGCTAAATCAAATGCACGATAATTATACCCACTATATTCATAGTCAATCAAAGAAACATTATCTTCTCCTTTAATGAAATTTTTTAATAATAAGTCATTATGACATAACACTACATCTGATTTATTTTTTAATATATTCTCTAAGAATATTAACTCATTCTTTAATATTTTAACGTCAAATGGTACTTTCTTAGAGTCTACATATTCTGTTGGTACATTGATAATCCATTTTCTTAATGTAACAAATAACAATGGAGCTTTAATGAGTGGGGGATTAATTTTATGATGTTTTGCAATAGCAATTGCTGTATTTCTAAATGTGTTGAGATCAATTAAATCACCTATTGTAAGTGTTCTTCCTGGAATATATGAATATACAACCCCATTTAAAAAAGTTCCATATAATATTACTGAACTACACGCCTCTGTAATAAGAAGTTCTTGTTTTCTATCGATGACATATTCTGTATAAGATCCATATGTTCTTACATTAACAGCAAAACCATTTGTTGTGTCTGTTATACAAACAAGTTTATTTGTAATTCCTTCAGTGAAATGTCTGAAAGTAAACTTATCAGCTGCAGTATCTTTAAATTCTGGAACAAGCTTCTTTACAACATAAATAATAGATTTAGTAAACATTGTATTATTTGTTGTGTCAACAGCAACAAATAATGATGGTGGTTGATTTGAATAATTTGGGGATGGTGACTTCAAAGAATTACACAAATAATTACCATATGAAATAGTATGGGGATAATGTTCTAATTTCATAATATCTCGTTCTTCACTAGGAATAAGATTTTCATAACTTACTGTATCGTCCATCTTTTTTTTAAAATTTGAGATGATACATTATTAAGATAAGTCCTTTTAATAATTTTGTTTTCCACGTCATGCCATTAGGAATGGCTTACTTCATGTCCTTTTTCTTATTTACATTTTTTTAGTTTTTTTATTTTTCATTTTATTCTTTTCTCTAGAAAGTTAATCAAATCATAAATAAATACTAAAAAATATATTACTTAACAAGACTAAATGAACAAAAACAAAAGAATAAAGAAAAGATTAATTCTCAAATAATAATAAAAAGGTGAAGAAAATAACCACAAAGAATAAAAGAAATAAAAACAAACAAAACATGTGATATTAAAATACTTTTATTCTTTTCTTATTACCTATTTTTTTTATTCTTAAAACAAACATAAAACACAAGCAAATATTGTAACATATAGTTAAAGTCTTTAAAGAAGTATATGAAATAGAACATATCAAAATAATTCTAGTCAAGAATTAATTATTCTGAATTGCTTAAATAAAACCTTCTTAATACTTGTTGGTATTACTTGTTGATTTATTTTAAATAAAGAAATCAATTACGGTTTACCTAATAATTAGTATTTTTTTCATCATGTTAAAAAGTGAGTAATTCAGTTTCTTCAACAACTTTTATTTCTATTAAATTCTTTTCAAACGTCATCAGCTTAATTATTCTTCATTTAACTTATTATTTGATTTTTATTTTGAATTGAATAAATATTAAAACGATTCATTCTTTTATACCGTTGTTGTATGATAAATATATCATACCACTTTATTATTATGATTAATTTCATTTATCATCGAGAATAAATAAATAAATAAATCCTATTTCTTTGACAATATCCCCTCCTAATAATTCAGTAATACTATCAGTCATTATAAATATCCAATCTTCTATTATAATAATTGATATTCTCTCATAAATAATAATTACTGATATTCTTACAATACTGAATAAGATTTGTTTTTTACACAATGGCAACATTATGACCAGACAATAATTGATGATTCAAAGATTGGATTTATTTTAATGTTAATATAGTGTTTCTGATGTTATTATTTTCAAAAATTACTTTATCTCATTTTTAAAGTAATGAAATTACAAAATAAAAATAAAATGAACAAAAGTGCTGAATTCTACAATAAAGAAAAAGTTGTTGGAGCCAGCAATTAGTATGTCAACACTTTATACCAAAAAGTGAAGAAATACATTTCAAAACATTTTTTCCAGTAATTTCTTCTTCAATTTTAGGGTTATATTCAACTATATCAACAGAATGTAATTTTTTCATTTTACCCATTTCAGACATAAAATATAAAGAATCTTCTAAAGAAATTCCTTTTGGTACTGGAGTGCCAGTTCCCAAAATAAATTCTGGGTCAATACCATCAATGTCAAATGATAAATGGATTACATCATAATCGACAAACTTTTTACTAATTGCTTCAATGACTTCTTTCATTCCAACTCTTTTAACATCTTCAGCAGTGAAATGGTCAATATGTTTATCTTGAATTTCAAATTGTTCTCCAACATCAATACTTCTAATTCCAACATACATAATATCTTTAGGAGTAATATAATGTGGCATAATAGAAGTAAGTCTTTGTGGTCCAAGACCAACAGCACAAGCTAATGGCATTCCATGGATATTTCCAGAAGGTGAATTTTCTGGAGTATTCATATCAGGATGTGCATCAAACCAAACAACACCAACCCTAGCATTTGGTTTCATTGCTTTAACAACACCGGCAATAGTTCCAAGTCCAATAGAATGGTCGCCACCAATATTAATAAGTAAATTATTAACATCATATTCTTTTGCAATTGTATCTCTTAACTCAATATTTACAGACTCAACCTCATTTAAATTTCTTGCATTAGTTATTCCTAATTCTTGTGGTGTTTTTGGTTCTGTAATGGTTTTTTTATTAATACTTTTTGCTACTTGTTCTAAGATATTCATAAAACCTAATTTTTCGAGAAATTTAGGTCCTTCTTCAACTCCAACTTTCTTTTGACCATATTTTTGTGGAACAGCAATGTATGTAACTTTTTCAAATTGCATAGTCTATTAGTTTATAGATGAACTATCTCTTTTTATATTCTTCTTAACAACTCCCTAGACTCCCTCAGAATTTTGGGTGTTAGGGTAATTTTTTCTTTTTTTTGTTTATTTTACTATTTATTTTGTTTAAGATTTAATTATTTCTTTTCTTTATCAGAACTTTTATCCCTCTTTCAACTCACCTTGATAGAACTTATTTTTACATTCAAACAAGATTGATTTTTCATATTACATTCTTACTCTACCTTTTCACAATAAATAGAATATTCTAAATTCTTCTATTGTGTCTTTTCTTTTTAACTTTTAAATCCATCTACATTTTTATGTGACACTTCATCTTTTTTAATTCATTTTAGTTCATTTTATTATTTTATCTTTTTTGTAACCAAACATTTCTATTGCCGAAATTTAGCTTCTTTAAAAGAATTATTTAACTTTAGTGTTTTCTTAAAAAATAACTTTAAAAAAACAAAAAATAATTCAATCAAAATCGTTTTTCATAATCAGATTCAGGATTTAATTCGTAACTATCTCTAGAAGTTCGTGAATTATAATGTGAATAAGGACAATTACGGTCTCGAGAATCTGATCTGGTTCTAGTGTGGTCCTTTTCTCTTTCCTTTAATCTACTCATAAAAGAATCTGGTTGGGATATTTTTGGTTGAGATATAGACTCAAATGGTTCAATTAAAGGATGACTTTTCACTTCTTGTGATGTAACGTTTTGAGTATTTGTTAGGCTTGATGACATATTTATTGTCTTTAAAGCCTGTATTTGAGAAGAAGAATCAATAATAGTACAACACTTTTTTATTATTTCTTGTATAACTGGATAAGAGCTGTATATGTTATCAATTGTATCATATGATGAAATAATTACTGTTGTTGGATTAACCATTAATGGCCAAATTCTTCCTGGGACTTTAATTGCATAATTACCAAGGAGTGATGGAAGTTGTGAATAACACTTAATATTTAATGAATTTAATCCAAGAATTACTATTACTTTCTCATCATCATAGTCATCCCAATATTTTGAAGGGTCTTTAATATAATATGGAGTTTTCATTTCTTCAGCCATTTTAAGTGCTATTTCATCACTACAACTTCCAAATATAAAGTAACTTTTTTTATTTGTTATTACAGGAAGTACTTTAGCTGTTTTTCTTTTTAAATAAATACTTTCTTGGAAATTCTTTTTTAAAGAAGTGTTAGATATTTGAGAATCAGCTATGACTGAAGAACTATTACCTAATGAAACAGAAATAGGTGGGTTGGTCTTAGTTAGTTTAGATGTTTGAGGTGGTGCACTACTACTAGTATTGAGAAAACCATTTGAAGGTTTATTTGAAAATGATGGAGTTGTAGTTAATACAGTAGGGTGTTTATTAAAAGATGAATTACCACGATATTTTTCTCGTTTGGAGACTTTGCCTTTTGGGGCAGAACCTTGTTTATCAACAATAATATCACCAACATCAGCCCATCGTTCCATCTCACTTGGCTTTAATTTAGGAACTCCCCAAATACCTCTTCCTTCCATTTCTCGTTGTAGTAGTGACATATTTTTAGTATAAGGAAATACAAAAAATCCTCTAATCTTTTTTGTTCCACTTCTGTTTCTTGTTTCACAAACTACTGCAGAAGCAGCTTCATTCGCAATTCGTTTTAATGAATCAATATCTTTATCTGTTGCATTATATAATGTGATTGCCCACTCATTATTAAATTTTCCAGAAGGAATTTCATAGTCAAAGTATTTACTTCTTCTACTATTTGGTCTTCGAGAATTCATAAAAACTGGATTTGTTCGATCCTTTTTTATTTTTTTAATTTCTCCTAAACCTAGTTTAATAAAGACTCTTTGGTATCCACGTCAATGATAAAAAATGAAAGAATAACTTTGAATGTGAATTAATTGAGTCTTTATGAAGTACATATCATTAACTCTTTTCAAAAAGAAAAATAAATTATTAGAAGAAAAGGTTATTAGTGTCTCGACAAATAGTCTTGAACAATACTGAGATATGCCTTAAGTAATTTTTGAATTGTTTGATCATTTGCACTATCTAATTGAATATTTCCAATAGAATAAATTGGAAGGATATTAAGAGAAGTACCAGAAAGAAAAGCTTTATAATGAGGAAGTTCTTGTTGGGTAATACATGTTTGATTAATAACAAGACCAATTGATTCAGCCGCTTGAATAACATATTTTCTTGTAATTCCTTTTAGTACCATACTATCAGGTGCTGTTCTTAATTCATTTGAATTTATGAAGAAAATATTTGAACGACTTCCTTCTGTATATTGGTGGTTTTGATTTACTAAAACAACTTCAAAAACTTTAGAACCAAAAAATACTTGTTCATGGGCTTTTTTTACGTTATTGATATAGTCTTCTCTCATTGATTTTACATTTGGATTATCTCTCATAATATCAACCTCACCTAAAATTACACCCTTTTTTATTGTTTCGATGTCTGGGTAATGATGTTCTTTTTCGTGGATAAGCATTAACGTTGGACTAACGACAATCCTAATATTTCCATTTTTTAAATGAAGTGCTTTAATTAGTTTATAAGTGCTTTCATAAAGTAATTCACTGGAAATATTGTTTTGAGAAGTTTTTGGGAGTTGTTCAATGGAGTAAAGAAGACGAGAGAGATGGTCTTCAAAAAAAAGTACTTTAGAATTGATTATTCTAATAACTTCATAAACATGAGGTTCATCAGTAATTTGAAAACACAACCCAATTTCTTTCGAGTGTGAACTAACCAACTTGTAATTAAAAATAACAGACTCACCAATTATACAGTCTGGTGTTGCCATTGATGTTTTGCCTGTATTTGTCATAATGTCTTTAATAATAAGTTAAATTACTTTTTAAGATTTTCTGTTTTAGAATTAATTGTTGTTATTATCTCAGTATTAATCAATCATCAAAAATGTATGTTGAGAGTTTTTTCTTTTTAAAATAACAAAACAATACATTTGACACTCTCATAATTAAAAAAAACAATCCTTCTTGTTTTTAAGAGATATTATTTATTCAATAATTAATTATTTAATATTTCTGATAAGTCAAAGATATATTCATCTAAATAACTATACAACTCTACAAAGAATAACAAAATTTTAATGAAAGTCTAAATAAACAATCATGTCTTGAGATTATTCATGAATAAGACTTATATAATAACATAATTATGAAGAGAATTAAAATAGTAATGTATTTGTTTTTTTTTAAGTTAGAACATTGAAAAGGTTACGCTTAGATGGAATAATAAATTTCATAGTAAAGAAATAGTGACTATGCATTTCTTAAAGCTCTTAAAGTTAACTTTTATAGTGAATTACAAAATGTACTGAAAAAAAAGAGTGTCCCAAATACATTAAAAGATATGGTTTTATGATGACCAAGAGATAATGACATTTATGATACTTTATCCTTTATGGTTTAAGATGTAAAACAGAAAGATATTTAATTTAACAATAAAATAAAAAAAGAATTGGATATCACAACTTAACATATGAATTTTGTCAATAATAAGAAATAATAGAATGAATTTTTCAATACATTTAATCTTTAATGAAATAAACAATAATGAAATTAATGTCAAATACATTTTTTTTTCGATAAAATCTAAAAAGTTAGAAAGAGAATTTGTTCAGTTAAAAACCATGGAAAAAATTAAAAAACAAGCCCAAGAACTGATTTTATTAACATCTACAACATTAGAACAAAAAAGTACATTAAAAGTGGAGTATGAAAGAGAATTTGAAGAAATAAAAAATGAACAAAAGAGACTTCTTAAAGAATTAGAAATTATATTTGAATTGAAGAAAAAAGCACAAGAAATAAAACAGTTAAATGAACAAATTGGAATTAAAGTCCAACAAGATATTGAAATAAAACAACAAAGAGTAATTGAAATTACTCAAATATATTCAAATAAACAATTAGAATATAAAGATCTTTTAGTAGATATTAACAAAATTCAAGATGAATTGAAAATACAATATTCAATTCTTCAAAGTCTAAATGAAAAAGAAGAAAATATTATTCAAGATGAAACAAAGACAAATACTTCTTTTTTTTATAGCCATGAAGAAGTTAAACAAATGACTAAATTGAATGACATTATTAATAAAGATAAAACACAAGAAATTCATGTATTAAAAGAAACGTTTGGTGAACAAATGCTTTATAAAGGTTTAGGGTATTATAATGATAAAGCAGCATTATTAGAAAAAACAGGTGTAGTTCCATACATTAAATCAGGTAGCCATTTTATTGCAGTAGTAACACGAATACCTGCTAAAATACCTTTCATAAAAAAAATTGCTAAACCAATTTACAATGGAGCAAAGAGCTTAGAAACAGGTGTATTTACTATTGAAAATAGAGAGTTTGTAAATGAATGGGTTATGAGATATTCTGAAATGTTTGATTCTGCTGTTGAACAAAATGGGATGATACAAACCTTAGCAAGCACAATCAAAAATAGTACTATTCGAGTTTGTGAAGATATTGTTTTCCCTACTTTTATTCCTTTCTATGACTATTTTCATGAATAAATCTTCTGAATATTAAATTAAATAAAAACATTTATATTCAATCGAAATTAAACAAAATAATAAATTATTTAATAATGTCTTTAAAAAATAAAACTAATTAGTATGTTTTTATTTGTAATTTATTTCTTCATACATGTCAAAGAATAAAACTATCAACTTGTTTATTTGTTTTACTCCTTTAAATAAAAATTTTTTCTAAAAATTCATTACAAAGAATGTTCAATTTAAGTTTGGTTTACGTTTACTTTAAATAGAAAAGAGAATAAAAACAAAATATTTTAAAAAAGAAATAAATAAAAAAATACAATTAAGATATAGAGAAAAGATTTAGTTATGTATTGAGAATTAATTAATAGAACTTAAAATTTTATAAACAACTTGACGGTTATATAAAAGATAAAATAATTACAATGTATAAGTCGTTGATAATTGAATATGATACAAAAATAAGTCTAGCTTTACAAATAACATAGAGCTAATTGTTCAAAACACAAGTAAATAAGCTAACAAACTAACATAAAAGTGTTACTGCTATGACAGTCGTAATATATTCAGCAAAGGATTAGTGTACATGTCATTAAAAAATGAGAAATTCTAATTTAATAAGAAAAAGTAATAATAACAGTTATAACAATTATAAAATGAAACACCTAATATGAAATATTGTAAAATTGTCGAACAAAAAAATAAAATGGATTTTTACTTAATAAAAAAGAAAGTAAATGAATGACAAAATAAAGATAATAACAATAGTTTATTTTTATTTAGACTAACTAATAGTTAATATATTAATATATTAATTTATTGTTTGAATGACGTTAAACTAGTTTAAGTCTTTTAGTTTCTAAAAATTTTTTATCTTACAATGACAAGAACTATTAATAATATTTAGGTGATGTCAAAAGACATAGAAAATAGATATGATAAAATAGAATTGACATCACAACTTATATACGATTTTAAACAAGAATTAAAAAAAAGAAGTGATGAATTAATGGAACTTAAAAATGGGTTAGAGTCTATATTACAGCTAAAAAATCAGATTCAAGATAACAACAGAAATAATGATAAAAACAAAAAAATATCTATTCAACAAGAGTCTCCTACAAAAAAGTCTCCTACAAAAAAGTCTCCTTCAAAAAAGTCTCCTTCAAAAAAGTCTCCTACAACAAACTCCCCCTACCAAAAAAAAGGGGAGGGTCATTGGTGCAAAAATAAAGTATTAATTATATGTGTTACAATTTCCATTCTTTTTCTGGGTGTTTTGATAATGGCTGTACCAGAAAATGAATAAAATAACAAAATTGAAAACTTATTTTTCAATTAGAATTGTTTAAAAACTTTATTGTATCATTTTCCTTAATAATTGGAAAGAATATTAATAAATTCTATCATCTTGTCTTGAGTAAAATCTTTACCAACACATAACCTAATATATTTGTTTTGGCACCAATCTTCATCTAAATGCTGTTGAAGAACAACAAAATATCCTTTTTCTCTTAAGGCTTTCACAATTTCTTCATTTTTTCCTTCACAATTCAATAAGACATAAGGGGTGGAATCATTTCCTATAATTTGAATATTTTTTGCTTTTTCTTGCATTAATTGATTAAACTTATTTCTTTGTTCTCTTATTCTAATACCCATATCAACACCATTTTTCTCAAAAGCATCAAGAGCAATACAAGCTGCAGTACAACTAAATGTTGGGGCAGAAGCAGAAAATATATACCCAGCTCCAAACAATCTTTGTTTATCAATAACAGAGTACTTACCAACAACAAATCCTCCAATTGTATCACACACAAATTCCAAAGACCCACTAAGAATGTCAATATCATTCATAGTTAATCCAGCATATTCCATTGATCCTTTTAAAGTGGCTCCAATAGCTCCAACACCAAGTGAATCATCAACAATAAGAAGTACATTACTAGACCTTAATTCAGAAATTTCTTTCAATGGAGAAATAGAATAGTCACATTGAAAAACTCCTTCAGTAACTATGGAAATTTTATTTGGAAATACTAATGTTTTTTTAGCCTCTGCAACTTGTTTTTTTAAGTCTTCAATATCATTGTGTTTAAATTTAATAACTTTTGCTTTCTTTGCTAATCTACACCCTAATTGAATTGGATAATTACAGCATTCATCAACAATAATCACATCACCAACACCTCCATAAACTGGAATAATAGAAGTAATTACATTATTTCCATAACTATAAACTAATGCGTCATTAGTATTAAAGAATTTCATTAACTTATCCTCAATTTTTAAGTGTTCTAAAGTTCCTCCATAAAAGCCTCTTGGTCCACAAGAACCACACCCATAATTCATAATAATATTAACCAATTGCTCTGTTCTTTCTGTGTCTTTATTAAACCCATGAATATCATAGGAGCTAAGTTCTAGTCCAATTGGTGAGACTGGTTCAGGAAGTATTTTTCTATTATCTGAATTTTCACTAAGAGATGTCATTTTTCTTGGTTCTTTTGGTAATGCCTCAAGTTC